CCTCCCCCCCCAAATACCGGCAACACGCTTCTTCTCGCCTCTTGATTGGACAACAGCACTTGCATGTTTTGCCTGTTCCGCTCGAATACTTGGATTGATTCGTGCCTGCAGATCTTTTCACCGTCTTCACTGGAATAGAATGCCCGGTCATTATAGCTGCATTTTGGGCAATGTTCAGTCTAGAGGAAGCTGTAATGGCAGGGCGTTCTATTCGGGGGAAGATGGTAGCCATTGGATGGTAAGGGCTCATCGGTCTTTCCCGGCCATTGGATGTGTGCTGATTGCCCCTGGCCTGGATTGATGACCAGGTACATGCGTACTACGAGGTCATGAGCTACATGGATTCTGATGACGAGATGGACGCTGGCAAAGGGCACGCGAGCGATGCAGAATGAGAAAGCTAAAACCTGGTTCGGATAGTGGATGTCAAAATGAGAGCACAAACCTTCTTCCCGACTTTTCAAACGACAACATGGATGATGGTTCACACAGGCTAGCGTCCCCGGCCCAAGCGGGGGATCACAACTGTCAAATGAGTTCCAGGGTACATTGGTGCAGCTGAGGGGGGCAGGGGGGAGGAGAGGGGGAAGGGGGATGAGAGTTCTTCCCACCCCGCGCCTGTAAGAATTGGCCCATGTTTGCTCAAGTCTTTCCCACTTTGGAAAGGTGTGAGCTGGCCGTCGATTATGTCAGCTCAGGATCCAGGACCTGCAAGAATCGGTCCATGCTTTCTCAAGTGCTTCCCCATTTGGAAAGGTGTGAGCTGTGAGCTGGGCCTCGGTGTGAGCTGTGAGCTGGGCCTCGATTATGTCAGTTGAGAGGATTTGAACTCTGGTGGAGATCCCCACCTCACGCCTGCAAGTACTGGTCCATGCTTGCTCAAGTGCCGCTGAGCTGAGCCTCAATTATGCCAGTTGAGGATTGAGGACCTGCAAGAATAGGTCCATGCTTGCCCAAGTGATTCCCAATTTGGAAAGCTGTGAGCTGGGCCTCGCTTATGTCAGTTGAGGATTTTGAGGATTTGAACTCTGGAGGAGATTGCACACTATTGTTATCAACCTGGGCGCACCGACTTCTGACAGGTCAGATCTGACACATTGCAGGCCAGGTTCAGTGGATCCTGTGTTGTGCTGTGAGTGGTCCTGAATAAGATCTGTGTTCTGGACCAGGTGCATTGAAAAGTCAGAGGTTTTCCTGGTAAGCGATATGTCGCACCCAACTAACATGACCAAACTAAAGGCCTCGCTCCACTACTCGACACTCTACATGCATTTGGAAGCCTTTCTAGACCAGGTGCATTTGGAGGAGTTCTGAATGCACCGGGCTGATTATGAGCTCCCGATACATATGGAGTTTTGTGTAGTGGAGCGATGACCTAATGGTTGTGTGTGGACAGAAGAGATCGCCGTTCAGTGGAGGCTGGCATGCCGACATGCGAGGATGATATGGCCCTTCTTGTCATACACATGTGGGGCGTCGCTCCACTACACAACACACTACATGCATTTGGATGCTTTCTGGACCAGGTGCATTCGGACGAATCCAACACTTCGAATGTATCCGATGTAAAAAAAAAACGTCCAAATGCATGTAGAGTGCTGTGTAGCGGAGCGAGGCCCATGAGTGGGGGAAACACTTGCCGAGCTGACGACAACATCCGTTCCGTCTGAGGCTTTCTATTCTCTCGTGGGCCTAATCATACCTCCCCCCCCCCCCCGGTGATACAGGTTTTATGGCATGAGCAGTTGAGCTGCACTGAAGATTGCTTTGGCATATGACGGCTGTTGTGCTCATGCGCCGGGCTGAGTCGTCGAGTAGCCATACATACAATGTGCGGCTTCCGTCTTCCCCCCCAAATGCAACGCACTGTCAGTGTGGCTGTGTCGGACCGGCCTTACACCTTGTATACAGGGAGCATAGAATTAAGGGAAAGACGGTAGTTTTGGCGCTGTAAAGTGAACCACGAGCCTTCAGTGAGATCTGCTGAAGGCTCTGTGTAAAGCAGAAGTCAGAGTTTCCATTCTCACCTTTCTACTGCCCGACTTTGGTATCTCTTACTAATTCTTGATCTCGCCGGCGCAGTCCTGGTATCTCTCCTCCAGGGTGCCATTTCCAGGGCCAACCTCCATGCGTAAATCCTGCTGGACCAAACCCTGGACCAACCCCCATGACAGATTCATTCCTTGACTAAATCTTGGGGACCAACCTCGATGATCAAATCCTGGAGCACGATCGGGTGGTGCCATTAGCTTCGGCGGGTGTGCAAATTTGTCTTCATTGTGTGGTGGCTATGTCTACTTCGATTGTGCATGTGTGTGACCGGGTACACTGGATCACGGGGAAACACGAGTACCCGTGTTGGGGTGGGGTTAAGTGCTCATCTTGGGGCTTAACTTTCACCCTGGTCCACTTTGCCGTTTGGTTGAGTGTTTGCCTCCGAATAGGGAGGTCACATGTTCGATCCTTGGACAGTGCGGACTTATAAAAAATGTATTTACAAAATCCTGGAGCAAATGGTGGACCAAATCCTGGACTAATCTCGATGATCAAATTCTGGACCACCACATCATGGACCAAACCCAGGACCAAATCCTGGATCATATCCTGGACCAAATCCTGGACCAAATCCTGGATCAAATCCTGGACCAAATCCTGGATCAATCTCGATGATCAAATCCTGGACCAAATCCTGGATCAACCTCCATGAAAAAACCCTAGACCAAATTGTGGGCCAAATCCTGGAACGAATCCTGGACCATGATCCAGTATCACTTTGGGTCCTCGGGGAGGATCTGCTTCCCGCATCGCCGGAACAATTGATGTCTAGCGTTTGCTGGATCCAGCATGCGGCTTGCGGTGTCATTCCTCTCCAGGCAAGGCGGTCAAGCGCTCAGCGTTGTTAGGGGCAATTTGACTGGATCTTTTTTTTTGTTGTTGTTTCTGTTTTCCGGTCAATTTGACTGTTTCTGTTCAGTGTCTTCAGACTTTGATCAGTGGCCTCATCTTATTAGCGTGGACGACAAGGTCTGTCAACAGCAATGCCACCACACTGACATCCTGGACAGTTTCAGTCAGAGACTTCCTCACCGCGTATGGGCTGCTCTCTCTCTCTCTCTCTCTCTCTCTCTCTCTGTGTGAGAGTAATGCTGGACGTTTGTCTCTTTATTACATCTTGGGGATATTTGCAGACTCTGGGGAGTTTTTTTTTTCTTTCTGGGAG